TCTTATACTGGGTGTCACTGGAGAGGAAAAAGCTTAAGATAAGATGAAGTCCATATTCCTAGCATTTCAGTTTTAATTATTTGTCAGGTAAAAGTCTTTATGAACAGATATGTCTGTCAGTAATTTGGTGATTTTTGGTTGCTGTTTTGGTACATTAATCCACATTAAGCTTTTTCTCGTTAAGCGTTTTAGAATGTCCCTATTTGGCGTTTGCAAAGCTAAAGCTCCGCCTGTGTAGAATGTTTGACGTTAGTGGGGCAGGCGGAGCATTTGGTGAGGCATTGCCCCCCCCCGCCATGCCCCTGCCTAGAACCGGCCCTGCCTCTTACAGTTCTATGGTTTTACGTATCAGGACACTAAAAAATCATGTGTTCCTTACCAGGTTCTACAATTATTTAAAACTAACCTTGGGTGTAAAACAGCACACATAAAACCAACCATGTCATTATTTATTTTAAGAAAAATTAAGCAAAAATGGAGAAGCCGTGTGTGAACAACTGGCTTGTAGAACCACCTTTAGCAGCATTAATTTGAAGTAATCATTTTTCTGTATGACTATTAGCGTCTCCCACCACTGTGGAGGAATTTTGCCCCTCTCTTCTTTAGAACAGTGCTTCAGTTCATTGAGGTTTGCAGGCATTCATTTATGCACATATGTTCTTAAGGTCCCGCCCCAGCATTCCAATCGGGTTGAGGTCTGGACTTTGACTGGGCCATTGCAACACCTTGATTCTTTTCTTTTTCAGCTATTCTATTGAACATTTGCTGGTGTGCTTGGGATCATTGTCCTGTTGCATGGCCCAGTTTTGGCCAAGCTTTAGCTGTCAGACAGATGGCCTCACATTTGACTCTACAATACTTTGCTGTACAGAGGAGTTCATGGTCGACTCAATCACTGCAAAGAGCCCAGGATCTATGGTTACAAACCAAGCCCAAATCATCACCCCTCCACCACCGTGCTTGACAGTTGGTATGATGTTTTTGTTCTGATATGCTGTGTTTGGTTTTCGCCAAACGTGGCACTGTACATTATGGCCAACCATCTCCACTTTGGTCGCATCTGTCCAAAGGACATTGTTCCAGAAGTCATGTAGTTTGTTCAAATGCAACTTTGCAAACTTAAGCCGTGCTGCCACGTTCTTTTTAGAGAGAAGAGTCTTTCTCCTGACAACCCTTCCAAACAAGTCATATTTGTTCAGTCTTTTTCTAGTTGTACTGTCATGAACTTTACCATTTAACATGCAAACTGCATGTTAAATGACCTTCGGGTGAATTTCCTGGAACGTCCACTCCTAGGATGATTGGCAACTGTCTTGAATGTTTTCCACTTGTGAATAATCTTTCTCACTATAGAATGATGGACTTCACATTGTTTAGAAATGGCCTTATATCCCTCCCCACATTGATGGGCAGCAGCAATTGCTTCTCTAAGATTATTGCTGATGTCTTTCTTTCATCCTTGGCATTGTGGTAACACACCTGATTGCTCCAGACCAGCAAACTGCCAAAACTTTTATAGAGGTGGTCACACTTGCTGCATTTGATTAGCAGCACCAGGCTGCTACTTACCCTCTTAATTCCTATGGAAGCAGTAAGGGTGACCTTAATTATACACACCCATGTGTTTTTATTTATATACTCAATATATTCAGTTTCTATTTATCTAATTTTATGACTTGCAAAGGACCACATGATCTTTTATGTCCTGATACAGTATGTAAATTCTTTTTCACATGACTGTATATGCTGTATATATAACTCGCTGATAAGTCGTCAATGTTTTACATGAATTTGTTTGATTATTTCATGCATGCTTTNAACTGACAGAGGGTGTACTTTCTTTTTCACATGACTGTATATGCTGTATATATAACTCGCTGATAAGTCGTCAATGTTTTACATGAATTTGTTTGATTATTTCATGCATGCTTTGCTCAAATTACCCACTTGCTCTAACACCAGCTAATAGTTTTGTTTTTACCTTGATTTTGGTAAATGTGCTGTTAGTCTGCTTTTCTTCAGTGAAGCTTTGATTGGTTATTCACCAGTTAATTATGTTACACTATAAGTGTGCAAGGGGGGTGGCATGGTGGTGCAGTGGTTAGCACTGTTACCTCACACCTCTGGGTTCGAGTTTCTGCCTGGGTTACGGTTACATGTTCGCCCCGTGTCATCATGGGGTTTCCTCCGGGCACTCCAGTTTCCCCCCACAGTCCAAAAACATGCTGAGGCTGATTGGGGTTCCTAAATTGCCCATATGTGTGCATGGCTGGTGTGTGAGTGTGCTCTGTGATGGGCTGGCCCCCCATCCAGGGTTGTTTCCTGCCTTGTGCCCATTGCTTCTGGGATAGGCTCTGGACCCAGTAGAATAAGTGGGTTGGAAAATGGATGGATGGATGGATATAAGTGTGCTAATTAAATTTAAATAAAATTTAAAGTCATTTCTTCATGGGGCCCACACTCTTAAAACAAATGTGTTAAAAATAACACAACATGTGTTATTTTTTAACACATTTGTGAGTGTGCTCAGGGACAACACATGTTGTGTAACATTTAACACAGTTTATGTGTTTGTCAGTAAACACAAGTGATGTGTTGATTTTACTAACACACTGATGTGTTACTGTTCATACAATTTACACAGTTTTTGTGCTCATTGTTGTTACTATTCATAAAATAACCACATATGAGCAGTTAGTCTTCATACCAATAATATACAATTACATGTTTTGACATTTAAAAGTTTTATTTTAGTCAAGCACGTTGAAAATACACACTCAAAACTAAGATGTTTTAAGAAACACAATATGTATTTGCTAACAGTCAAATTCATGTTTTTTAATAAATACAAATTCTTAAAATTAATTTCCGGAACACACAACTTTTATGATTAAGCTATTAAACCAGTTAGGCTTAGGTCTAACATTCATGAAATTAAAAATTTCACACATTCATGCCTTAACCCTCTTTACAGAGACTTGAAAATTCATGCAGCCCAGTACAAACACTTCTTTAAAATACACATCCAAAAAAATATATTTTTAGAAATACATTCAACACACTCAAATTCATAAATTTAATCAGAAAATGTAATAAATACAAATTCTTAAAATTAATTTCCGGAACACACAACTTTCATGATTAAGCTATTAAACCAGTTAGGCTTAGGCCTAACATTCATGAAATTAAAAATTTCACACATTCATGCCTTAACCCTCTTTACAGAGACTTGAAAATTCATGCAGCCCAGTACAAACACTTCTTTAAAATACACATCCAAAAAAATATATTTTTAGAAATACATTCAACACACTCAAATTCATAAATTTAATCAGAAAATGTAATAAATACAAATTCTTTAAAAAATATTACAAAACATACTACAACCATTAAACCAGTCAGGCCTATACATTCATGCAATTGAAAATGTGACACATCCATACCATAACCCTCTTTATACTCACTCAAAATGCAGCCCAGTAAAACCACTGCATTAAAATACACATCCAAAATTAATTATTTTTTAAACAATACAATTCTTAA